CATGGTCCATTTTCAGGGCTTTGCCACACAACGATTCCTGATGTATGATGCAGTGATAAACTGTTAGCTCACCTGCATGGTTTTCCCGCATCGTCTCCCGAATCCTGCCTACTAGTCCACTCTTTTGACCGCACATCGCTGGTGCACCATCTGTAGTCAGTCCACAAGTTTATCCCAAGGCAGTCTTTCAATTACACATTTGATACCTCTTCAAAGATTTCTTTTCCTGTGGTTGTGTCATGCATTGATTTTTTTTTTTTTAAACTTAACTTATTTTTTATTGAAATTTTCTTTCAACAATTACAGTGTCAGGTTTTACACACTCCACAAAGCAATTATTCACATTTCTGTGTCCTTATTGTCCAGTGGTGAAGGTGGTGTTCTCTTGCTGTGTTCTATAATCTGTCCATTTTTCCTGAAAGTGTGTCTCTTGTAATCGTAGTTTATGTGTAATTTTTTCCATTACAAATATTTTTCCACAGTGTTCACTCACTGCTCCACGGTCGGGGGTTCTGCTTTATACCATAACCTTGTTATTGCTTTTTTACTTGCCAATAGCAGAACTCTTTTTGTATTATATCTTGTGTCAGATTTCCCAAATAAAGTATCTTACAAGACTTGGGTATCTCGTATCCTATTATTTTTCTTAAACCCCACCATATTTTATCCCAATATCCTATTATCTTTTGGCAAGATCAAAAAATATGCAGATGGGCTACATCCACATGTCCACATAGTCTCCAGCATGGTTGCTGGTTAGATACAGTTTCCTTCCTAATGTTTGGAGTTATAAAAAATCTGACCATATTTGTCCAATTGAATTCTCTCCAAATCCTGGAGCTAGTGGCCGTGCATTGTGTTTTACAAATATTAAACCATTCCTTCTTAGTTATTTGCTCCTTCAACTCTTTTTCCCATTTTTCTTTGATATAAAGAGAGGAAGTCTTCCTGCATGACAACAAACCTCTGTATAGGGTTGAGACTACTTTAATTTTTATCAATAACAAAAGTTTTTATCTCCTTCTCATAATAATCCCTTATCTTTCGGTATCAATATTGTTCATGTTCATCTAGTTCAAATTTATCCCTTAACTTTTCAAAACTCTGCAGCTTCCCCCGCTCGACCATGGTACATATCACTGTAATGCCTTTTTTCATCCATTGCTTAAACCCTTTATCATTCATAACAGGTACAAACCTCAAATCAGATGCGAACAACCAACTTAAAATCTTTGTCTCTTTCTCCAATTTATGTCTTTCAACAACCTTGTTCCATATTTCAACTGTAGTTTTGGTTATTGAATCCAATCGGTTGCCTAACTTGTGCAATAGTCCTTTGTGTGTTATTAAGTTTTCAATGTCTTTTTGCCCTAATTCTATACTTTTCCATCTTGCAACATACTCATCCTTGCACCAATATATCAGAGGTCTTATATGTGCAGCGTAAAAATATTCCCTAAGGCTTGCTAAAGCCAGGCCTCCTTTGTCCTTTGGGAGCTGCAGAGTTTTGTATCTGATCCTGGGTTTCCTGGGTTTCTTTCCTCCCCATATAAACCTCGATATCCACCTATCCCATTCAATGAATTGTTTTTGTGGGATCATCACTGGCAGTGATTGGAACAGATATAAAAGCCTTGGTAGAATATTTATCTTAATTATCTCTATCCGGTGAAATCCAAACTAATTATTGACCATCTCTCCAAGTCCCTCCTAATTTCTCGATTTATTTTTGTGTAATTCGCATCATAAAGCTTGTCTAATCCTTTTGTGACATTTATCCCTAAATATTTTATTGATTTAGCATTCCACTTGAGGTTGTATGTTTCCTTTATCTCTTGAGATGGAAAATAATTTATTGACAAAATCTGTGTGTTGTGACATTAATTTTGTATCCTGAGTAGATTCCATAGTTCTCTAATAGTCTCATAATTTTTGAAAAACTTTCATTAGATTGTTTTAGGAAGAATAATATATCATCCGCGAATAACCCTATCTTGTGCTCCTCCTGTCCTATTGTCACCCCTTTAACTTCTTCCTCCTGCCTAATCATCTGAGCTAAAGAGGCATTTCACCCGTGGAAGCTATAAATGATCATGTTTACACATATTTAATTTTTGTCTGTGTTGATATATCTGTAAATAAATGGTTTTACATTCACGTTGTTGTAGTCTTGAAGTCGGATTAGTGGGAGCGGCTTTGCAGAGCTGTGCAATTGATGGGAGTTGATCGTGTCTTAATTACAGATGCGCCCTAAAAGTAAAAATTTCTGTCTTTTCATCAGGCACCCAAATTCAAAATTTAAGTGTTACATTTGGACTACATATATAACCAACTTTCAATAAAATATTAATTGCT